TGGGCACAGTTGCCCAGACATGGCACACTTGCCATGGGGGGGCTGATGCTTGGGCACCTCATCCCCTCTGCCAAGACACACAAGGAACTTCCCTGCCAAACTGTGCCTCAGTTTCCCCCTCAGCAGGTAGGCTTTGGGCGATGCTGGGGTTGCCAAAGATCAGGCTGATCCCCAAAGGGCTCCTGGCCCCTCCAAGGCCCCCATGGAGGGGCCTCAGAGCAGCTGAGTTCACCTTGGATGGAGATGCCCACCCTGGTCCCCGGGGGGTTGCCTCTGGGGACCCTCGGAGTGACCAGAGCCCCCACACACCCCCAGCTCTGCTCTTGCCTTCAGACGCTGAGAAGACCCCGGGCTACTGGAACAAAGGGGCCAGGAAGAGGCTGGAGTCAGCCCTGGAGTTGCAGCCAGCAGCACAGCGGGCCAAAAACATCATCCTCTTCATGGGTGACGGTGAGTCCCCTGGGTTCTGGCCAGGCCCCACGGCTCCATGGCTCCACAGGAGTCAGGGGACGTGGCTGACGAGAAGATGGGGCTGGTGCAGGTCCCCTCCTCCCCAGCCAGCCCCGGGCAATGCCTGGGGAGGGCAGGACTGTCCCTGGTCCCAGCCCCTTCCATGCCGTGGCTCTGCCGTGCCCACAGGCATGGGGCTGCCCACCATGTCGGCAGCTCGGATCTACAAGGGGCAGCTGGCCGGCGGCTCGGGCGAGGAGAGCATCTTGGCCATGGAGACCTTTCCCCATGTGGCCCTGGCCAAGGTGAGTTGGGGCAGCGCCGGGGGGTGGCCCTGCTGCCCCTGCCTGAAAACTCACTGGCCCTTGCTTGCTTCCAGACCTACACCATCGACCGGCAGGTGCCCGATAGCGCTGGCACGGGCACAGCCTACCTCTGTGGGGTGAAGTCTAACGCCAAGACACTGGGGCTGAGCGGAGAGGCTGTCTACGGCAAATGCCGCACTGCCTTTGGCAATGAGGTGGACTCCATCCTGCACCGGGCCAAGCTGGCGGGTACGGGGCTGTGGGCAACCCTGTCAGAGAGCGTGGCGTGGCACGGCGTGGCCCATCCCGTGCCGTGCAGGGCTGGGCGGGCTCCCTGTAAACCCTTGGCCATGCCGCAGGCAAGTCAGTGGGCATCGTGACGACCACACGCGTGCAGCACGCGTCCCCCGGGGCAGCCTATGCCCACTCGGCCAGCCGGAGCTGGTACGCCGACGCCAACATGCCCAAGGAGGCCCTGCGGGATGGCTGCAAGGACATTGCCTACCAGCTGGTACACAACACGGACATCAACGTGAGCTGGGGAGCAGGCGTGGGAGGGAGGGGACACCGGGAATGTTGGGAGGGTCTGCTGAGCTCCCAGGCAGGTGATCCTGGGCGGCGGGCGGATGTACATGACCCCCAAGCGGACCTCGGACCCCGAGTACCCAAAGGACCCGGCTCAGAACGGCGTCAGGAAGGATGGTCTCGACTTGATCGCTGAATGGCTGAGTGCCAAGCAGGTACTGTGCCAAGGCAGAGGGGACATGGCACCGGGTAGGGGACGTGTGGCGTCGGCATTGGCTCTGTTCTCACTGGCAGGGCGCCCGCTATGTCTGGGACAAGAATGGCCTGGATGCGGTTGAGGATGACTCCGTGAGCCACCTGATGGGTAAGACCATCTCTCTCTACATCACCAGCAATGGCTTTCTCCTCCTCCCCGCTCTGG